CACTCGGAACTACTCGGATGTCTCCGCACTCGACAATAACTATGTTGTTAGTATGGAGCTTGCGGAATCAGCCGAGGATTGCCGATTGACGATCAACCAATCAGCGTTTTCACCAAACTTTGGTGAAAAATTTTGAAACATGGATTCGATTGGCTTATATAAACTAGGTCAAACTATTTTCGTCAGAGGTTACTTGACACGATGGAGATAGGCTACAGTGAAAAGGTTAGTGTCAAGTTAGCTCTGAAGCTCAGGGTGCCATACTGTGTCACAAGGGTGTTACACTCCGACCTATATAAGCTGGGCACCACATTACAGACTTTATCCACAGCAGCGATAATTTCTGCCTGTATAAAAGTTATTTACAGAAATTAAAGTAAACGAAAAGATGATTAAATAACAATTTATCAAAAACGTAAATATCACTATTCCAATGGAGGAGAATACAAAAACGCAAAATTATAAATGAATGAATACAGGAAACTTGCCTCAGAGGAATTAACATCAAGCATATCATCCAATGCTTCTGCAGCAAATTCACACACTACGCACGAAACCTGACGCTTCAGTTTCTTTGCGTGTTGCACCTCAGAGAGCTGATGAAGGAGATCATCGTCTAAAGATATAGCTGCAAAACAAAATGTATCAAACTGCAAGTCCATGAAGATAAGAGTGAAGAAGTTTGCCTAATTTATTGCAAAAAAAAAAAAATGAAATTTGGAAAAGGTTTAAGTAAATTAAGGAATCGTCAGAGGACGCTGTTTTTGATAAGTACTGTCTGGGGAGTCAGATGAGAGCCGTTTTATGCGACCAAGAACCAGGTTGGTGCAAGGATAAATGTCTGATAAGCATGGTAGTTAAGTATGTTATCTGAAAACTTTCGGTGTAAGGTCTCAAAGTAACCCCACCTCCATACTATTTCTATCTGTATAGTTCTTCAAACAGTTTCGGTGACTTGAATAAATGACAGGTTGCAAAATGCGTTGCAGTTTCGGTGACTTGAATAAATGACAGGTTGTAAAATGCGTTGCAGTAACAACTCTAATAACAGCTGCAAAATTAAGTTTATTGCACACCAATCACGAGTCGAAGAATTAACTCAATAAACAGGCCCTATATTCCCTAACATGCTACGAAAATTCATGCATTAGCACGCCCACACAATGTATACCTGCAGTATGTACGGTTTCAGATACCCACAGTTTTTCCTTCTAAGTACGTGTAGGCCTACTCTCCTTTGGTTCAGTAAATTTTGCGGATTTCAGCGACCGGCACATTGGTCTTATAATCAGTTATGCATTGGTCTTTCGTTACTAAGTGTAAACTGAATATAGATTGCCGAGCATATAAAAGTTATGTTATTGACCGTCCAATTTTCAGGAACAGCCCTTGTCTAATGTAAATGTTGTCTATCAGGTACTAGAATCTCTGTTGCGATTTGTGGAGTGTGGTTTCGTGCTGTTATACTTCTACTTCTTTAATGAAATTCTTAATTATAAGTATTATTTTTCATGGGGCACAATTAATAAAGAATTTCTCTCTTTTGTTTTTGTAAATTGCAGATCAGAATATTTTCTCTTTAGTCATTTACCAGTGAATAGACTATTTAACCTGGGTTTTACTAGCATGTAAAATACTACCCCTGTATGCACAAAAATAAAACTCGGAATTTTGGTTCATTTTCCGATGTCATTTTTTTTTCTTTTTTTGCGTGGCTACATACACTTAAGGCAATTTAGCCGAAATATGTCAATGTCACCCGATGGCTCACGCGGTACAGGTTTGGCATTTGGAATTACATTTTCCCGTGTGAAGCATAGGCTGTGGTAACAATTGTCAAATGAAACTAATCTGATCATTTTATTTATATCCTCCTTTAATATTGAAAAAGCTGTTGTTACAGTCAAGAAATAAATGCACTGATCAAGTCACGAATAACTGATACAACAGAAGAGGTATAAATGTCATTTAGTCAATCTTGATGAGAATTCCAGTTTCTTCTTTTTACTACATAAAAAACCATGCGGTTACAACATGTAAGGACACATAAAGATCACTTGTCATAAACCGTGCTTCACATCGCATCCCTTTTGATATATTGGAAACACTTTGGACATCATGGTAACCAATATACAGATATTGGTGCAAAACAAAGCATTTGTATTTGTGTCCCACTTTCTTGTTGTTGTGTAACCCTTCTCCTATTTGTAGGCCTATGTGACGTACACGTCCTCTTCCCTCCTACATTTGAAACAATCAAGCAGGTCATTTTGCAGTCTACTTTTTCTATCTTATAAGTTGAAAACAGTTCAGTTGGGTCCAAGATATATATATATGTATATCACTGAAGATATTAGCGCGTCATTTCTTTGTTCCCTGTAGTGTCGATGCAGAGTCAGAGGCTGGTGTAGAAAAACCGTTATATCTAAAATAGACAAGGACACAAAATAAACATAAATGCACAGTATATAATGTGCTTTTTACTATTTCAACGATGATATATACTTAATATTTTTTCTATAATTTTGAAATTTCAATAAAACCTAGCCAGATTATAATTTTGCCTAGTCAGAATCTAAATAAGCCTTGGCAGAATTGAAATTTTAATTTGGCCTAGACCGATTTCAAATCTGTTAAAGCCAAATTGAAATTTAAATCCTGCCTAGGGCAAATCTGAATGGATTTCATTATCTAGCCTGCGACATATAATTTACACAACCTTTATTTAGATAATACTGTACATACAAAATTGAACCATACCTAATCTATCTTCACTCAGCAAAGTAGCATTGTACTGCAAAATACCCCTGGTTCCCCTTGATTCAGAAGAAAGTCGACAAGGTCTCCACCATACATGCCCAGAAATATTTCACACTCCACGTTATAATTGCTTGGCAGCTCAGAACAGACTGTGTCCACAGCATCGACAACCCCTTGCTGTATGAAAATAATTGAAAGAAATTAAAAATTAAAATGAAATTAAAGTGGACAAAAAGAAAGGAAATAAAATAACAACATATGAAAAACGTAAATGTCACTAAATTTTCTGATGAAAGAGCGTTCCATATCCAAAGACGCAGAAAAATAAATAAATTTAAGAAAATGAATAAAGAAAACTTACCTCAGTAGGATTATCCTCAAGCATTTGATTCACTTGGTTTGTAACTATTCTACACGTTGCACATGGAATTGGAGTACGCAGTTTTGGGGGTTCCATATCACCACTGCCCTCTCTAGGACTTCTGTGACTGGGTCTTCTCCGCCTGGGAGGACGCATTTCACTGGGCCTTCTGCCTCCTGCAAATGTTAACAAATTTTACAACTGTGTCCCCAATGAATTCCATGTTCAGCTTGAAAAAACTCACTTTAAACAATAGGCTATATAAACAAGTTTAATACAATTCTGAATTAAAAAGAACCTTTGTTTCTACAGATTTTATCAATAACTCACTGTGACTGGGTCTAGTCGGTCTAGGTCTTTCTGTATCATCACCACTTCCCTCTTCATGACTCCTATGACTAGGATTTCTCCGCCTTGAGGGACGTCTTCTGCCCCCTGGAAATGTTAGAAATGTTAACAAGATTAGTCGTTATGTCCTGTGCCAAGGTGAATTTTAATTAAAATTAATGTTGAAAAATTGAGTGGTCGTATTTAAAAACCATTCAAAACTGTACGAAATTGATCTAAATATTACTTCCAATTATGAGAGCCTTTCCTTCTACAGAATTTATCAATAACTTACCGCGACTGGGTCTAGTTGGTCTAGGTCTTTCCATGTCATCACCACTACCCTCTTGAAGACTCTTACGACCGGGAGGACGCAATGCACTGGGTCTTCTACCCCCTAGAGATGTTAAAAATTTTAATCCATAAGACCTAAACCTAAGTGTATTAACTTTTGTTGAAAATTTGACACTTCACTTTTCAAAAATACTACCACTACCAAGGCTAACTTTAAAGATTTTGGTGGAGATCGGGATCCTCATCTGCATCCATTAATTTTTTAAGGATTCTTCACTTAATTGAGAGAACAGGCCAATTTGGTCGTTTTTGCTTATAATTTCACAAATAATATTTAGTCTTTAAATTATGAGAATTTAGTAAATCAAATAGCTGATAAATAAAGAATTACAATAATTAGAAAATAGGTGCTTTGGCGGAAGCCAGTTTGCTTTTCCTGTATATGACTCTACGAAATAGGTTTAAACATAGCTTTGAATTAATGAGAGTCTTTGCTTCAACATGATTTATTTTAATAAATTAATTTATTTTATTAAAAGTTTATTTTTTTTAAATAAGTTAATTTTTTATTAAAATTTCAATAGATTTATTATATTTTATTAAAATAACTTACTGTGACTATGTCTAGTCGGTCTAGGTGTTTCTATATCATCACCACTACCCTCCTCAGGACTCCTATGACTGGGATTTCTCCGCCCGGGAGATCGCTGTCCACTGCGTATTCTGCCGCCTGCTGGATACCATGAGAAACAAACAATATATTTGTAAAATAAATCCTGCGCTGTCTAAGAATAGAATGAGTAAATTGAATAGAAAAAAGTCTTGTTTTTTAAATGGATTTCATACTATTCCCTTGCTTTATCAAACTGTTTCGCATTTTTTATTCAAATTACTGTTAACCTGAATGTTAATTAAAAATGGGCGGTATGTTTTCTGCATTTTTCATATTTCACTTCATAGACAAAGTAAATGGGTTGCGAAATATGTATAAACACTAGCATAATATATCTAGGGGACTGACATTTTGTCTCCTTCACCTACAGAACAGTTAAAATAATATGTGAACCGAGTAACTTCAGTTAGTAAGCTTAGCACCTGTTCTACGTGTATATTTCATGGCCACATTTGTGACGAAGAAAGCCAAGGTACCCCTGTATGTATTTACTTGGTTCACATATTATTTGAAGTGTACTCTGCATAAAAGAGACAAAATGTCAGGGTTATCAATGAACTCAACGTTCTTCCGTCTTGGAAACTCAACCTCCTTGAATCTTGTCATTTTAAAAAGTTATCTGCGGAATGGTATGATACATGTACCTTTAGGACAGAGATGCCAGATTCATACTCAAATTCGAGAAAAAAAACTTACCCGGAGCGGGCGCAGGACTGGCGGGTGGTGATCTTCCTCGGGGACTCCTGGGTGGGTCATATTGGCGCAAATAAGCGATTGATACCAAATCTGTAAAACAAGTCAAATTTTAAGAAGATCGGAAATGCACCAGTGCCTTGGACTACCATTTCTTTTTCTTAGACGCATCAGTACGGCTCTGCATCAATTAGGTTTTCCCTATTATCTTCGCATTCAAAGAAATTATTTAAAACCTAGATTTTTTCTTAGCGTTTTTAAGCAAAAATGGTCTGTTTCAGAAGAATCCGCATTTAACCTTAAACTGTAAGTCTAGAAGTGCTGAATGCGTCCACAAAACAAGACAAGAACGATTAAATTATAACAACCAAAATGCCTACCTTTAGAAGGATCTTTGTTGCCGGTATTGTCTTTGTCTTCGATGTACAAGGCAATCCCAACGCTTATAAGAGCGAGCGCAAGTGCGCAACGTAGACCTTCCCTTCCCATCCTCTTGTCGCTTTCGGAATGTGGACTAAGACATTTTCAGCGTTTTTAATACCATCCCAGTCGTTAATTGGCTGTTTTAATTGTTTGTGGGGTTCTGGGCCGGTGGTTGATGAATGCGATTATTTTAGCAGTTTGTCAATAAGTTCTTCCACCATTTCAATACTCCTCTACCATATAATTATATTGGCAACAATTTCGCTGGTAGATGACACCTATGAATTGGCAGCACGTGGTTTTAAAAACTTACCCACAGAACCTAATACATGTAATTAACCTCCGCATTTCCGACATCTAGAGCATCATTTCTGATAACAATCGGGAAGTTGAGATGCCATCGCAAGTCGCAAGTTCCTTTCAAGTTTTACAAGTTTCCAGGTTTATTCATTTCTTAATTACTGTAATACAGTTTAAAGAACAAATAATTGCATGTACATACTTGTAAATGTTAACCTGAAGGCTTTGGGACCCTTATTTCGCGGTAGGTGTTTAGCATACATGATTTTGCGTCATAAGAGAGACAGCACATTTTTTTAAATTTACGAATAGAGAACACACGAACACACTACATACTGCACCAATATATAGCAAATAAATACATAAAATAAAATAAAATATAAAAATTATACGTGTGTGTGTGTGTGTGTGTGTGTGTGTGTGTGTGTGAGAGAGAGAGAGAGAGAGAGAGAGAGAGAGAGAGGGGGGGAGAGAGAGAGAGAGACAGAGGGAGAGAAGTTGAAAATGCAGGCCTATATAAATGTGCAACCAAAGTAAACTTATGTCCGGTTGATTCTTGATGAATTTTCCCTTTAGGAAGCCTTTTAAGTTAGGACCAAGTTTCTACTTGAGTTCTTATGTGAAACCAGATTTTGACAGAACAAAGGATGCTTGCATCCTTATCATGTACACTGAAAACTAGCCTCTTATATTTTAAATTTAAGTGTCAGCAATAATTCTGTAACAGACTACTAGCCGCCCTGTGGTCAGTAGACTAGCGCGTTAGTACCTGATTCTTGTGTATTGTGTGTGTATGTGTGTGTGTGGGGGAGGGGGGGGGGGAGGGGGGAGGGGTCAAGCCCCTTTCATCATATCATTATATCTAGCGTCCTAGATCATATCAAGCTGCCACATTTTAGACCCAAGGCAAGCTGGAGTGTTTTTGAGATTGGTGGCCTAGTTTAAAGACATGACGTAAATACAACAAGGGGTCAATTTTAACTTATTATGTTCATAGTTCATAGTTTATTTCACTGTAACATATGCATCCACTTGTGTGGATGAAAATGACAATATGAATACATTTTTTGTGAATATGCTATTAAACAATCACAATGATTAGGACTATTTACTTATTTACTAAAAAAAAAAAAAAACGAGTTTCTCTCTATTACTACTATTACTCGATGAGTGCAGCACTGTCTTCTAGATCCCTCAAACGTTTTGAAAAAAAAAAAAAAAGATTCTCGGTTTAAAAATACTCCCCGATGTATAACAAATGTAACAAATTAACCAGATCATAGATTGCATTATCTTTTACAACCAAAACAAGATGTCAAATATTCATTAAGGGAGACATTCAAAAAGTCTAAAATTAAAACCAAACGATCATTGAGTTATGCGATATACAAGTTCCAAAATGGATCGATAGACTTTTATTTCATCTTTGACCTTGCATTTTAGTTATTTTACTTTAAGTTTGTTCACATATACAGACCGTAGGCCTATTTTTGTTTTACTTGAAATTTACTGTGTTTCTTTGTTTGGTAAAGAGTCAGGTTGCTTTCGAAAATCCGCATGATCTTTTATTAGTGAATTTTTTTTTCACACATTAGCATATTTTCAGTTGCTTTTATATCCCATAGGGACAGTCGGTCATCCGGGCACTTTCCCTTAGCAACCGGCATCTGGGGTAAAACAAATCGGGCAACATGGCGGATCGCATTGACTTCTATGAAAAAGTTGGCAGACTTTGTCCGAAGATATCATACTTCACAGTTCCTGACCACTTATGTCAGTGAAGTTGAGTTATTTACCTGGTTGATTTCCTTTACAGGCTTTTGTAATTAGCCGCTGCACACCTGGTTAAGAGATAAAATCGGCCTTAACTGCCGATCGTTATCTGTGATCGGGAATCTTACAGTGGTAGAATGCAAAGACTCTTTGCTTACCTGGATGAGCATATTATTCACATCTCTTTGAAAAGAAAACCATATGGAAGCAACTGATAATATCAAGGAAGGTTTCAATTGTACTAATAACTGTATGATGTTGCATATTGCTGACACATATGACGGGTAGATTTTCATGCTTACTGAATTGAACCGGTACCGTTTAACTCTCAGGCACGCGTACAAAAGTGAAATGGTGGAAGCTTGCTGTGCACCAGGTGACACGACCAACATGTTAATAAAATCTTATGGGATTTGTTAAATTTCAAAGATCAACGGAAAAGTAAACTACTGTTGCAGGCTATAGGTAGTGCAAACGTGACTAAAGACGGGATTGTTGATCAAAACAAAATTTGGTCATAGCTATACATGCACTACGAGAATTGTGTATGTGTGTATAGTTCATTTTATTATAGATAAGGAGAAAGTCATTGTACCTTGTTTGGAATTTATGTTTGTCATTTGTTACATGAATTAATAAGTAGTATTTACAAGAAATTGAGATTGCATCTTGTGTTGGCGTGTTTGACGGTATTTCAATTCTTTTAGTTAAAATTAATGGACTATAACGTCGGACTTTTTTGTTGTTAGTTAATTGAGGACGTTATAAAGATAAGATAAAAATATATACGTCAATATATTGACAAACCTGTGAGTTAATGTCTAAATCTTTAAGTATTCAAGTAAAATATACAAAAGTTGCCATAAATAAAGCGACCTTAACTGGTAAAATAACATACAGCTTTATTACCATGTTTTCTATTCAATTTAATTTTAATTCTGTCTTCCATGATATTTCGTCAATTTTCGTACCAGAAAAGTGCACAATAAGATTGTAAACACTCAAAGACGCATAGCTGCAAAAATTAATACAGGTAACACCACGTGTCTTCTCTTCCAAAACGTTAGCAAGCAACTGTTCATGCTGTCCTTCCAGGCTTGTATTAATATACATGTACTGTATACGGACCAAAGAGGCCATTGGACCGATGACACTATCCCTATCCCGTTCCCCTGGCTATTGCAGCAGCAGGTGATTTAATCACAATTTGTAGACATCTTATTCTAATAACTTTTCAGTGTTGCACATTTTCCAGGCCTTTCTCACGATGCAGGTTCTAAGAAGCCATTCCTATATCACCAACTTATGTACATGTATATACTTAGGCTGGACATTTGCGTATGCAGTTAAGACCAATTTTATCCCGTAACAAGTTAAACAGTAGCTTATTACAAAGGCCTGCTAACTCAATAGTCCAGGTAAACGATTCAACCCGCCAGACACAAAAGGTCAAGCACTGCCTTTGCAAAATCTTCTGCTGTAAACTTCCCAATCACAGATAACGATCGGCAGTTATGTTAAGGCCGATTTTATCTCTTAACCAGGTGTGCAGTGGCTAATTACAAAGGCCCGTAAAAGAAATCGACCAGGTAAATAACTCATCCTTACTGACACAAGTGGTCAGGCACTGTGAAGTATGATATCTTCGGACAAAGTCTGCCAACTTTTATATAGAAGTCAATGCGATCCGCCATGTTGCCCGATTTGTTTTACCCCAGATGCCGGTTGCTAAGGCGCGTGACGTCAGCCCGACTGTCCCTATGGAACTAATTTACTTGTGTTTTTCAATGTCCATGTTACTTGTGGTGCTTGATGTAAGAAGGTAAAATTGATTATGCTGTTTTAAAGCATTATGTAACAGTGCATCAAAATTGGCCAAAACATTTTTGTAAACTTTTAATTTTTTCTGCGTAATGTCTCAACATCTGACAGCTTTCTTGCCTTGTTTCCTGTGTATATTTCCCAGCTGTCTAGTTTAACTCTTCTGCGCCAGGAGTACGGAAGCTACAATGGTAGACCGCTGTAAACAAAACCAGGCAGCAGGCAGTATGTAACACAGGCAGTACAACACAGGTAAGACGGGGGATTAAAGTATTTTAATGTTTGGTATGCCCAGTGGGTGTGATAAAGAGTATGTGTACACCAGTATGTTGTTAATTTTATTTATCTAATGCCCATGGAAAAACAAAAAATAAGGTAGACTAATTTGCTAATCCAAATTCATTCATTAACACATTCATTAATTTTCGATATGTTCTGTTTGAGTTAAAATAGTACAATTCAGAAATAGTACTTATCAGAGACAGTGAGTAAGTAGGATTGCTATGGCCTGAATGTTCGTGCTACCAATTTCCATGAATTGAAGTCTTTAAGTTAATTTGTCTTCACTTTCACTTTTTTTCAGAATCAAGTTGTATGTAAATAATAAGTACACTGTACTATTTGTCGTTAAGCATGTACAAGTCCAAATAATCAGCCTCGAGCACACGTTTGAATTCCTTTTCTCATTTCATGTAATTACCTTTCCTCTTTATTACAAGGCTGCTAAGTGTATTGGTGCATGTATCATTTCCACAACTTCTACTGGGTAAATTTATGTCCAGGAAAATTTCAAAAGCGAAATTGTGGCTTTACGTATTTTAACATTTAATTTTATTCTTTTGCTTTAGGTGCCACCTAAACATTATGTAATTACTGAAGTAACCAAGCTATGAAATAGAAATGAATGGATATGCCGAAGACGGGGACTACATTGTAGATACTTGGTTATTGGACACAGATTTCAGTTTTGAATTTGGAGAGCACCAGGATTTGCCAAAATTAAACAAGGAACAACTTAGATTTATTCTTGCGGTTAAAGCAGGAAAAATAAAATATGTAGCTGCCATGATAGCAGAGGGGTTTGATGTCAATTTTTGTACAGCCTGGAGGGGAAACCCCCTGTGCACTGCAATAGAAAACAATAGGCTGGACATTGCCAAGTTGTTACTAGACAGTGGAGCACATACAGAGAATGCCCTACATTTAGCATGCTTGAGGAGTAACATTGATTTGGTGTCAATGCTGCTGTCATATGGAGCTGATCCCAATGCTGTTGGACACGGAGTGGGAGAGGACATTCCAACCTGTTTTATATTTGCACTACACGTGGCTCAGCCCTTGACAATAGTGTTGAAATTGATAGAAGCTGGTGCTGATGTTAACGCAATGTGTTGTCAAACTCTGTGGACACCGCTGCATCTGGTGTGTAACAGTCCTGCTCACAGTGCTGACATAGTCCAGGCCATTCTCAGAGCTGGAGGTATGGCACATCACAGAGATAAACACACAGG